GTGTGTGTGTGTGTGTGTGTGTGTGTGTGTGTGTGTGTGTGTGTGTGCGTGCGCGTGCGCGTGCGCGCGCTCGTCAGGTCAAAAGCAACAAAACCCAGCGAGAGAGGAAGGACAGAAGTGAAACTCCAACGGCTCCACCCAGACCAACCGAAGAGGTTTGCAAACAGTTAACCCCAACTACGTGACATGTGGTCCAAGTGAGACTCTTCTGACTTCTGTCTGTTCTATCATGTTGCTAAGGCTGTGATCTCTCCACAGGAGATGAAGAGGACGTCCACATACGACAAAGTAACAGCAAGAGAAGCTGTGGATAATCAGGTACAGTGGATTTCTGTAAATGATCCAAGATAGCAAGCATAGGTGACACTCTCGGTTGGGGGAACAATCTTTATTTTGTCTTCTTCAGGATAACAAGGACATGATCTCCAGATCTGCCAGACCGTCAGAAGAGGTAGTTAAGTCCTTCAGTGTTTACAGACTAACGGCTGTTTGTGTCTCTTCTGAGCTGATGTGTATCGATGCTGGTTTATTCGCCCTGTAGAAACTGCTGTGGTTTTTTTGTGAGTTTAAAACATTTTTTAATGAACAGTTTTAAGTCATCTCCACCTAAAATAAATACAGTTCTGAGGAACCCTGAACACATTTCGAGACAGAATATTGGTCATTGGATGTGCTTCAATATTATAATATCCACATCAGTCAAACACACTCTGAGGCACACATACCAGTCAGTGCACACACTTAGACAACACTTTGCTGAAGCATCCTGAACATTTAATTCAAATGTAATGAGTTTAATTTGCTGCAGAGCCAACCAGACGATAAAGGCCTCAAAGACGAATCGGCTGAAGCCAAAGAGGGAGACGAGGGGAAACCTCCAGAGAGCAAAACAGTAAGTTTAAAATGAGCATTAGCAGCCTTAAGATCAGAAAACTGATAGGCACACACACTGATTGGTATAGAATAGAGACTGACCAACCTTTAGTATGTATGTATTTGTGAGTCTTAGAATCATTTAAATTGTCTGTGTGTTATGAACCCACATTTACTTCTACATGCAGGTCACTGCGGCAGGTATTGTGCCAGGATCTAATTGTTCTAGTTCATGCTTCCTCCTCATTACTTCTTTCATGCCATGCAAATGACTTGTGTCACCACCACACTATTGTCAGTGTGAGGTTTATGAAAGCTCATGGTTGTCACAATTATTACTACTTATTCCATACTCTCTGACAGTATTATATATTCTGTATCATAATGTTCCAGCTCCTGATCCTTTTGCATTATTTTGTAAACACTTCTCCAAAATTCCAACTGATATATTTGGTATCTAAAGAAACTTGGGAGATTTGCCTGCGCAGCAGGAATTGCTGTCCCCCTCCTAGCCACTGCTTGTTAAGGAGTTGTTTAGGTTCATTTGTCAGATGCTAGTGAGATTACAGTGAAGTTATTTTTGATGTACAGTAAACAAAATATATAGTTACTTGTCTATTTAAAGGAAGAAACAGACGCATGACATATTTGCAGAGGGACATGTATTTGAACTGTACCTCACATTAAGCACAGAAGTCAACAACAGTTGTAATGAAATGCAGTTCTTCCAGTTTTTGCTTCTTTGTCACTTAACACTTTGTCACTGTGCCATTTCTTTTTTTTTTTTTTTAAACAGACCAAGGTGAAAAAACACAAGCACCACAATCCGTTCATGTCAAATGCTGGAGCCAAGGTATTTTCTTTATTTTACTCTTCATACAGAGTCTAAACAGTCATGAAGACATTTATCTTCTTTGCACCTACTATATACTATACATTAATGAGTAACGCCTCAGACTCCCTGTTTTACTTTACAGGCTCAGTCTGACGATGAAGGGCTGGAAGAAGAAAACGATTCTTCTAAGGATGAAAAGAAAGATGAGGAGGGCAAAGACAAAACACAGGTATTTTAACTCATTTCTTCAACTAAATGCTTGTTGGTTGAATAAACAGTTCTTGGTGCGATAGTCATCAGGAACAACATTTTCCTTTTACAGTAGTTGCTGCTAAAGGAGCTTTCACACCTGTATTTTCCTCTGCGTAACACTGCAATTCTGATTTTTCTTTTTAGACCAAAATCAAGAAACCTAAGAGATACAATCCCTTCATGCCTCGCGTCAAGGTAACGTGTGACATGTACAAACTTGTTTCCTCCCGTGGGACTGATATTTGTTTAAACCACGCAGCCAAATGTCTGTTAACACACCACCGAATTACAATTACTCCCAAGGATAATGCTACTGTATAACTGCACTTTGGGCACATTGAACAGTTTACATAATTGAGGACAACACACATGTCTTCTGCACCCATTACATCCTGAAGACCAGACAATAGATGAATCACTGTGTGTTTCTGCATGTCGCTGAACTGGAGGAACTAGAATCTGAGTGGACTGATCCAGGCCTTCGTAATTGACTTGAAGCGCTATGATCCACGTCCACCCATTTCAGGCATTTAGTGGTGGCTAGTCTGTGCTTATTTAGTTCATTCATAGCATATTAAAAGTCAAAAGCAAAAAGCTACCTTTTATGAGGAAATCCCTGAGGTAGTTGCATTAATATTTAGACTTTTCCATTTATTCCAATAAGGTCACTTCTTCCTGCAGATCATTCTCTGTGTGGACTTAATGGGAAACAATATCAGCCCAAAAGCAAAATATTATATTGATAATTCAAATGCTTAAACTGTGTGTTTGTGTTTGTGTTCATTGGTTTCAGGGTAAAGCTATACAGAGGAACGCACAGGACGGAGCAGAGGTAGAGTTCATAAAACGCCCATCAGTCATCTGAATGAGACAGAAAATTGTATTTGATGTTGCCTCACTTTGTCTCTTTTCTTCAGTCGCCTCTCGGGCAGCTTTGAACATTTCTGTCAGTGTCAGTATATTTGTCCCACAGACTGACGAGTTTCAGTCTTACTCATTGTGGTTCATGATTACAAAAGGTCTGTTTCAGTCATCAGACCCGTCCCTAAAACACACAACCTCTTTCTTATATTTGTCTCCATGGTGTCCGCTCAGGTGTTTTTTGTTTTTTTGCCCCCTACACCCTCGATACGACACCTACCCCCACACCCCCACACAGTGTTTGTGCATGTCCATACAATAAGAGATGAGATTAGGTTGCAATGTGCCCAAACTTGTTTTTCTGCTTCCTTTTTCAACTTGTCTGAGGAAGATTACTTCTGCAAAAACAGCAGTACGTTCAGAATCCTTTTTAACCATCACAAAAAGTTCAAAGTTTGCTTTATTGTCAATTCCACAATGTACTGAACATACAGGGGAGATGAAAAGACCTTTCTCTCTAGTCCAACATATAAACATATAAAGTGAATACAGTGCAAGATTAAAA